CTGGCTGGGAAAGCAGAGATATTAACCATTCTCTTGCCGTCGAAAAGCTCAACGTAGCGAAGTAAATTTGCACGCGATTGAAAACTCAATGATACACGCCTAAAAATTTACAGGGAGATAGCAGAGCCAGATTTGACAAGGTACAACACATTTTTTTTTTTTAGATTGAGCATGGCTTGTGTCATAACACTACTCTGTAATATTACTTGAACGTAAATTGTTCGATAGACAGCCTGTTAATGTTTGTCTGTTCGAAGATGAAATCTTCTATTGATCAGGGGAAGCTTCGCCTTTAAAACATGACAAGGTATCTTTCAAAATTTATCTTTTGGCTGTTGGGATGCGGAAATAATGTTGCCCTTTATACCGTTAGGAGAATATAACTCCGCAAGATCCCAATGCTAGGGTTTGTTTACAATCATTGCCTGGTCAAGTACGATATTAGACTAATAGTACTTCATAGTTGCAATAACATAGTTTATTTATTTTCCAATTTGTGGTTTAATAACACAATTTAAGTACAAAAAAGTTGGATCTTTTTGCATTTCATAAAGGTTGTCACTTACTCCAACCGTAGATCGTCGAAGAGTATTGTTTTTCCATTTCAACACAGAAGCCTCACTGGCTTTAATTTAATTTTTCGGCCAGGATTTACAGCGAAAAACCTCTCTTGTCCCTTATTTCGTTTTCTTTCGATTAATCTTATTTCTGTCTTTACTCAGTTCAGAGGAAATCGGGTCGATGTTGTATTTTTTCTGTGCGTGAGGTATCGGGTTTTTGAGCGCGTTCCAAGAATTCATAGGAAAAAACTGATGAAACTTTTTTAATGGAGATTCGTATGATGAATGCCAGAATCAACATTACAACCATTTCCACCTCTTTAAAAGATGAGTGCGATGTAGACGTAATGGGCTTTTTTTTTTTCATTCACAGTTTTTGAATACAAACTCAATTAGCGCATTTCTGAGTCATCCGTGATGTCTAAGTTCATTTGGCAACAAACTGTATCAACAATGTCTATGGAATCGCTTGCCCGATCATAGATCCTTGCAAGAGGCTGCAAATTGCTTAGTAGGGCAAACGTGTTTATCAGGCTTTTGCCATTTTATGCACAGGGAAAAATGATCTTAGCAAACAGTAAATAATCCAATCATTTTTTTTTTTTTTGCGTGACTGAGGTGATAAGTCTTACTGCCGCGCAAAAAAAGGTCGTCGGGCGCCGATGATGGGAACAAGAACTAGCTCGTTAACTTTGGGTAAAGGTGCTATAAAAAAAAGAGCTCTGTTTGGTTTGCTCTCCTTTGTTGCACATCCGCAAGGCACCCACGCATCCTTGAATTATTGTTGATTTTGGTTTTTGGCTTCTTGTCTAGGAGCAGAATATTAATCCGCGTGCAAATAATAGTGCACGAACACTTTTCTATGATGGTCTCTTACAAACTTAACGTCGTGTTTTGAATACTATTAATCAACTTTTATATTCCTTTTTTTTACGATTATTTACCAGTTGTGTCAAGTTGGAAGATGAAAACAATTTCTTGGGTTAATGCGATTTTTTTCAGTTAAACGTACAGACTATTTACTATGATTGCATTGTAGCCTGCGAACAGGCTCCCGGTGAGTCCCCGCCCCGATCGCTTTGCTCTCATAATTCTTCTGTTTCGCGCTAGCCGAAATTTTTTTCCGTCCTCGCCGGGAGCCTGTTCGCAGGCTAATTGCATTGTCGCGTTTAAAGTATATACAGTACTCGTCATGTCGACAGAACATGATTTAACATGTGCCCTTGACGTTTATTCCGACAGCCTGCTTAATATATACGGACACCCGGATAATAACCAGGTTCCACCGACACCGCTGCTTAGCTAAGGCATTATGTAACACTCGTTATGGTATACAGACCACGTAATAAACATTGCTTGATCTGTTTCCGTAGAGCTGCCGTTTTCATTAACAATGCAAAACAAAAACAATTTGCTTTTCAGTTGACCTAAGTTATTTTTCTTTCTTGCACTGTCAATCGTTCTCGAGTCACGTTGTGCTCCATATCAAGAATATATCATTTGATATCTTTCGGAGAAATTACTTTTGGTGCGGTTAATTTAATTATCTTTGTCCGTAAAGTCGACATTCCCAGGAATAAGCATGTGCTAGTCCGATTGTTAAATTTTCTTTGCAATATTTGTTGCTACGAATGCTTTACAACACTGCTTGGCCAGTTTCATTTAGAAGCTGGATCCTGCAACCATTAAGTTGTGCTCCATGATCTGTGTGTTTGTCTTTACTTATCACAGATGTTTGTATTTATCGGTAAAAAAGTGCCGCTTTTTTGACTTTGATCCCGGTGGGGTACTTTGGAAATTTCTGGATGGGGATGTG